ATGTAATAAAGTTTGAAAAAACAAACAAAACCTTAAGCACAACTGTATCAGTCTTTTTGGTTATCAGTTTCACATTTTGTGGTTATTTAAAAAGTACTAAAACCTATCTGCCTGAATAGCAATTTGATGTAAAACTGACTGCAATGAGCTTTATTTAAAATCACTTGGGTAAACTACTATGAATATTATGAGGTCAGAGTTATTTTAAGACGGCAGAGGCAATCCTCTTTGGTCCTGGCTCACTCAGACCAACCTTCAGCTCATCAGTCTGGCCATGAAGAGTTTTATCAAACAGGTAAGATATTTATTGCAGCGGAAATTCAAAATATCTGAACTATCTAACTACTATGTCTGCATGTGGTTACTGCGTAAACAAAAACTTGTTTCCAACAACAGCACGGTGGTTAGCACTGATGCCTCACAGGTCCTGGGTTCGATCCCCAGTTCGAACCCGGGGTCTTTCTGCATGCTTTCCTAGTGTTTGTGTGGGGTTTTCTCCAGGTWTCATGGTTTCCTCCCACAGACTAAAAACATACGTCAGGTTAATTTGTCAGGTCTTTTCCGGTTTTAAACCCCTTCAGCTTCCAGAGTGGTTCACTCTAGTTTGATAGAGGGATTTATGACCATGTAGCTCTGCAGAAGCTTTTTATTTACAAACTAATTAAAAGATGTCAACATGGGCAGACTTGTCCACCCAGCCTTACAGGTTGGAGCCAGACGAGAATGAAGACCACCAAATTGTAGTTGATAAATCCAGACCTTATTTCGCAGTTCTGTTAGAAACACTGTGATGTAATAGTTTAGAAAACATCATAGACAATGGAGAAAATTAAACGAGTTKAACAATATGACCCAAACAGAATATAAACATATACTGTATTTACAGTACTGAGACTAAATTAAACTTTTCTGCACTCCTAGAGACTCCAAGTACACAACAAAATGTATTTAACAGAYAAACAACATGACTCCTTTAAGTAAATATTTGTACTTTGTTACTTTACAACTGATAGATTAAGAAGAAAAACTGTTTTGTTTGGTTTTACAGCCATTTGGCATGGCCATGACTTTGGTTTGGTTAGCAACATACAATAAACATATAAACATAGTATATATAAACTAACTAAACACAGTTACTATCATTATTAAAGAACAAACACAGAGCCAGAGGGGTGGTGCTCTGCCACTCCTGGAACCTGACTGGTCACCCCAGATGATTGACAAGTTACTGCATGTTGCAGTGGTGTCCAACCCTAGTGCTCAAGGGCCACAGTCCTGCATGTTTTAGATGTTTCTCTGCTCTGACACACCTGATCTGAATGAACGAGTGATGTTGACTGACTGTTGCAGAACCTGAAGACTTGCTGAAGAGCAGGGAAACAACTAAACCAGACGTGTCCAAACATTTTGTCACGTGCGCCAAAATCATAAAGTCAGAAGGACTTGAGGGCCAAAAGTATTTTTCCTTTACC